CTTTTATCCACTTTGATCTGTTTTTGTATATGATGAGAGATAAGGGTCTAGTTTCATTATTTGCATATGAATATCCAGTTTACCCAGCACTATTTGTGAAGAGACTGTCTTTCCCTCAGTATACATTCTTGGCATCTTTGTCAAAAATGAGTTCACTGTAGATGTGTGGATTTGCTTCTGGGTTCTCTATTCTGTTTTATTGGCTTAAATGTTTTAATGCCAGTACCATGTTGTTTCAGTTGCTATACCTCTGTAATATAATTTGAAGTCAAGTAATGTGATTCCTCTGGTTTTGTTCTTTTTGCTTAGAGTAGCTTTGGCTATTCCAGGTCTTTTGTGGTTCCATATAAATTTAAAGATTATTTTTTCTTTTCTTTTCTTTCTTTTTTCTTGAGTCAGTCTCACTCTCTCTCCTAGGCTGGAGTGCAGTGGTGTGATCTTGGCTCACTGCAACCTCTGCCTCCTGGGTTCAAGTGATTCTCCTGCCTCAGCCTCCCCAGTAGCTGGGATTACAGGGGCCCACCATCACACCCAGTTAATTTTTGTATTTTTAATAGAGATGGGGTTTCACCATATTGGCCAGGCTGGTCTCGAACTCCTGACCTCAGGTGATCCACCCGCCTTGGCCTCCCAAAGTGCTGGGATTACAGGCGTGAGCCACCGCGCCTGGCTGTTTTTCCTATTTCCACGAAGAAGGTAATTGGTATTTTGATAGGAATTGCACTGAATCTGTAGATTGCTTTAAGTAGTATGGACATTTTAACAATATTGATTCTTCTAATCCATGAACATGGGATATTTTTCCATTTTTTGGTGTCCTCTTCAACTTCATCAGTGTTTTATAGTTTTCATTACAGAGATTCTTCACTTCCTTTGATAATTCCTAGGTACTTAATTTTATCTGTGGCTATTGTAAATGGGATTGCCTTTTAAATTTCCTTTGCAGATTGTTCACTGTTGGCATATTGAAATCCTACTGATTTTCTATCCTACAACTTTACTGAATTTTTTAATCCTGTCAGTTTTTTGGTGGAGTCCTTAGGTTTTTCCAAATGTAAGATCATATCACCTGCAAACAAGGATAATTTGATTTCTTCTTTTCCAAGTTAGAGGCCCTTTATATCTTTCTCTTTTCTGATTGCCCTCGCTAGAACTTCCAATACTATATTTAATAACAGGGGTGACAGCCTGTGTCCTTAAGGTAGAATGATTTCTATTCCTTTGGGTAGACATCCAATAATGGGATTACTGGATCAAATGGTAATTCTGTTTTAATTTCTTTTAGAAATTGCCACACTGTTTTCCACAATAACTGAACTAATTTACATTCCCATCAGCATTATATAGGTGTTCCCTTTTCTCCACAACCTTACTGGCATGTTAGCTTTTGACTTTTAATAACAGCCATTTAGACTATTGTGAGATGGTATTTCATTGTGGTTCTGATTTGTTTTCTCTAATGATTAGTGATATTGAGCATTTTTTCACATGCTTTTTGGCCACAAGTATGTCTTCTTCTGGAAAGTGTTCAAGTTAAGGAACAAAATAGAGAAAATATTTTGTTAAAAAAAAAAGATTGTAGGAATTTTTAGGATTTCCAAAACTGCAAAAACACCTGATGGAACGTCCATCAAGAAGAAACCCAAAACTTTAGGAATGCAGGAGGCTTTTGACTGCCTGTGGGGTTCATTGATGAACATTTGGGTTGGTTCCAAATCTTTGTTATTGTGAATAGTGCCGCAATAAACATACGTGTGCATGTGTCTTTATAGTAGCATGATTTATAATCCTTTGGGTATATACCCAGAAATGGGATCACTGGGTCAAATGGTATTTCCAGTACTAGATCCTTAAGGATTGCCACACTGTCTTCCACAGTAGTTGAGCTAGTTTACACTCCCGTCAACAGTGTAAAAGCATTCCTATTTCTCCACATCCTCTCCAGCATCTGTTGTTTCCTGACTTTTTAATGATCGTCATTCTAACTGGTATGAGATAGTATCTCATCGTGGTTTTGATTTGCATTTCTGATGCCCAGTGATGATGAGCATTTTTTGATGTGTCTGTTGGCTGCATAAATGTCTTCTTTTGAGAAGTGTCTGTTCATATCCTTTGCCCACTTTTTGATGGGTTGTTTTTCTCTTGTAAATTTAAGTTCTTTGTAGATTCTGCTCTGTATCTTAAGTGTGGTAGTTACTACATGAGGGTATACTGTTGTAAAAACTCATTGTATTAGTGTGTTCTCACTGCTATAAAGATACTACTTGAGACTGGGTAATTTATACACAAAAGTAGTTTAATTACTCACAGTTCAGAGTGACTGGGGAGGCCTCAGGAGACTTACAATCATGGTGGAAGGTGAAGTGGAAGCAGGCACCTTCTTAACAGGATGGCAGGAGACAGCAAGTGAGTGCAGGGGAAACTGATGTTTTTGAAAATACCAGATCTTGTGAGAACTCCCTCACTATCATGAGAACAGCATGGGGGAAACCACTCCCATGATGCAATCACTTCTTACCAGGTCCTTCCTTCAATACATGGGGATTACAATTCAAGATGAGATTTGGGTGGGGACACAGAGCCCCAAACCACATCACTCATAAAATTGGCAAAATAGGATATCTTTTACCATGTTTAAATTATACTTAAGTTGATTTATAAAAATTATCATACATTGTTTTAATAGTGAAACAAAATTTTGAAATTTCATAAACAGGAAAATAGACAATGTTTTATAGTTACACAAAGTTATTTATTATACTTTATTAAAATAAGTAAAGCTAAACATATCAGCAGGCAAAAAGGTCAAAACCATGCATTTGAAGACAAAAGCTGAATAACTTTAACTTTTGCAAATACTTGCAAAACAACAAAATATGTTATTGTACATCCACAATAGTATATGTGTATATATGGAAATAAAGAATGAAAGTAATGAGACATGGTATCAATAAAAACCAAGTTTAAAATAAGGCTTAAAGGTGGTAAAGGTTATAGGAAGTTAAAGAAATTTGGGAATGACATGCAGATACTTCAACTACTTTTGCAATACTTTACTTCCAAGCTGCAATATGTACACTGATAGTTATGTTATGAAATATTTCACTAAAACTACACCAGCCCACCTAAGAGGGTTCACTAAAATTCAGTCAATAGGCTTGGATTAAAAAAAGTAAGCTATACTGAGCTTCCTGTGGCTCTGAATTGGGAGACCAAACTCACATGGGCTAGAGTTTCTAGGTGGTCCTCTAGCTTTGTACACACACTTAATGTGGTTTCCAGTCTCTGCACCTAGGAAGAGGTGCAGATGCAGCCTCAAGGACAACCTATATCCCACTGCCTCTGGCTGGTCCCAATGTATGTTCTGGTAAGAGGGTGGTCCATCCTGAGCTCCCCTAAGGGTAGGTCCATTAGGCAGAAAATGCAGAGGCAACAGTATAGTTGGAGGGCAGACTAATCAAGGACAGGAGATGCTCATGATAGAAAGGGCCATGGGGTAACACTCTTTCCCCAAAAGTGGACTCAGAGACTGAAAAGGTTATTCAATTTATTTGTGCTTTAAAAAAATCTTCATACTCTACAGTTATTATTTGTATAGAATTCTGTTTACAGTTACATTTCTATTTAAAAATTTGGGGTTAGAACAAAACATGACTGATTTTTTTAAAACATGACTTTCAGGATAATATTGTATCTAGAAGAAAATTTCTATTCATTATTTCCTAAACTGACACATTTCCTTTAACACAATCTTCAGATATAATAAAGTCTGAATATTTGTTAATGTCTTCACATTCAAAATATCTGTTATGACTTTAACTCAATATGAATTATCTTGCTTAGTAAAATGACATTTCTTGACATAGACTCAACTACGTTTGCTGCATTCTTTGAATATCTTCCCTATTATTTCTTTAATATACAATGAGTAAAACTTGTGCATAAAGTTGTCAAAAGAAACAGAATGTTGACAGTTTTCTCTAGATGTGGTTTATCTTATTTTTATTAATGGTCATTCTCTGGAAGAACATTTTCATATATCCATGTGAGTCATTAGATTATTTCCTATGGAAGTGCTTTGTTTAATAAATTCCAAATTATAGCAAAATATTTCCCCATATTCCCTACATGGATCAGTAGTGTTTCTTCTACATGTATTCAGTTACTTTGTAGTTGTCTCTTACAGCAGATTTTCAAACATTCATTACATTATTAGGAATTTCCCCTAAGCCTATTCTCTTATTTACTTTGGAAGATGACTTATGGTAAAAGGTTTGCCAAGTTCTTTACATTCACAGGAGTCATGTCCTATTTGATTTCTCCTAAGTATTTTGAGGTATGAATTGCTTGAGAAAGATTTCTCTCACTTCTACATTTATAAGCTTTTTCCCATGTGTATCCTTGGATGTGCTGTGAGAGTTTATTTCTCAGAGGGTTTCCCCACACTGCTTACATCCATAGGGTTTCTCCCTTGTGTGTCTTCTCTGATGTACTTTGAGACCTAAGCTGCAACTGAAGCTTTTCCCACACTGACTACATTCATAGGGTTTCTCCCTTATTATATGTGTTCTCTGAGTGTTTAGTGAGATCTGACTTACCAGTAGTACGCCCATTCATTGTTTATAAGGTTTTTCCCGTGTGTATTCTCTGATGTACAGTAAGGACTGATTTCTCAGAGAAGGACTTCCCACACTCATTACACCCACTTCGGGCTTCTCCCCATGTATTTTCTCTGGTAGGAGTTGGGGACAGGTTGCAAATCGGAGTTTTCCTACATTCATTACAGTAATAAGATTTCTCCCTCTGTATGTGTTCTCTTATATGTGCTGTACAGTCACTATATGTTGAAGGTTTTCCCATTTTTACACACAAAGGGTTTGTCTCTATGCATTCTCTGGTGTATTGTAAGATTACAAATTCCTAGGAAAATTTCCCATTCCTTACATCTATAGGGCTTCTTACCTGTGTGTGTTCTCTGATGTTTAGTTAAGTCTGATTTATTATACAGAAGGTTTTCCCACATTCATTACATTACTAAGGTTTTTTCCTGTGTATGTGTTCCCTCTGATGTATATGAGGACTCCACATTCATTACATTTATAAGGTTTTTCCCCTGTGTGTATTCTCTGATGTACTGTGAGGACTGATTTCTCAGAGAAGGATTTCCCACACTCAATATATTCATAGGGTTTCTCCTTTGTATGTGTTCTCTGATGTACTTTTAGGCCTGAGTTATGACTAAAAGTTTTCCCACACTGAATACATTCATAGCGTTTTCCCCCTATGTGAGTCTTCTGATGTTTAGTGACATCAGACTTGTGGCAAAAGGTTTTGCCACGTATCTTACATTCATAGGGTTTCTCGCCTGTGTGAGTTCTCTGATGTATTATAAGATATGAACTCCTAGAGAAAGATTTCCCACATTCATTACATTCACAGGGTTTCTCACCTGTGTGTGTTTTATGATGTATTATGAGGACAGAGTTGCTTATGAAGGTTTTTCCACACTGATTACATTCGTAGGGTTTCTCCCATGTGAATTCTCTGATGTACTGTAAGATATGACTTATGAAAGAAACTTTTTCTATATTCCTTACATTTATAGGGTTTCTCTCCTGTGTGAGTTATCTGATGTAATACGAGGTGTGAATTCCTAGAAAAGCATTTCCCACATTCCTTACATTTATAGGGTTTCTCTCCTGTGTGGACTCTCTGATGCAAAGTGAGGGGAGATTTCCTAGAAAAACATTTCTCACATTCATTACATTCATAGGGTTTCTCCCTTGTATGGATTCTTTGATGTTTGGTTAGCTTTGACTTTTCATAGAATGGTTTTCCACACTGCTCACATCCATAGACTTCCTCTCCTCTGTGTTCTGTGAGTTACATTAAGTACTGACTTCTCATACAAAGGTTCCCCTGATCTGTTACTTTCAAATGTTTTCTCTCTTGTGTTAGGAAAGCTTGATCTGTTAAAATTACCTACACTTTCAATATATTTATAATGTTTCACCTCCAAATGAACTCTATGTTTCAAGAAAGTGGACTTCTCAAAGGTTTTTTCATATTCATTAAACTCATAAAAGTTTTCTCTTTTTTCTGACATTTTATGGACCGTGAGAGTTGGATTATTATAGAACACTTTATTACATTCATTATGTACACAAGGACTCTCTCCTGTGTAAGCTTGCTTATATGTAATGAAAACTGCCTTTCCATAGAAATCTTTCTCACATTCCTTATGTTCAAGATTGCTCTAAATTTTGAATTTTCAGATATGAAATGAAGTCTTCCTTATGACTGAGGCATTTTCCAATTCGAATAAACTCATAACGTTTCTCTTCCATATGAGTTTTTTCATGGTTACTATTGAGGAATAGTTTTCTATATGCACTGAGGTCATGAGGCATCTTTCTTAAATAATTTTTCTTACTACTAAATAAATCTGAAATGTATTTTAAACTCATACCACATAAGTCACATTTACAAGGTATTTTTATGGAAGGAAGTGGGTCTATGCTGAAATCAAACACTTTTCCTAATATGTTACCTCTCTCTATAGTCAGTATTTGGTTTTTGATATATGGAGCTTGCCAGATATGTATGTCCTGGATTTCCTGACAGCGCTCCAGTTGGTCATCAACTTTGCAGACTTCTAGAAATAAGAAAAAATAACCGTAATTCATAAGTCTTGTGAAATTTGTGATGAACTTACACTTACATACAAACACGCTTTTATATATAGTTGACTTAGTTTCCTGGAATAAAGTAATCCAAAAAGTGTTAATCTCCTTTAGCCCTTTGGCTAGAAGAAAATAAACAAGAAACCTTATAATGTGGAAAGTAGGGTGGAAATTTAGAACACACAATGGGCAATTTATAAATACGTACTTCAAAACAACACAGAGGTTACAAATAACCATAAAGCACAGTGAATACAGAATAGACACAAATAATGACATAAAACATTAGATGTAAAAATGATACTAAAGATATAAAATAAATAATATAAATATAAAAATGGCTAATCTAGAAATGGGACATGCAGAGAATGAGAGGGGCAAGTAAAACTAGTAGTTAAGAGTGTTCTAGAAAAATATCAGAGGAGGCTGGGCATGGTGGCTCACACCTGTAATCTCAGAACTTTGAGAGGACAAGGAGGGAGGATCACCTAAGGTTGGGAGTTCAAGACCAGCCTGACCAACATGAAGAAACCCCATCTCTACTAAAATTAGCTGGGCATGGTGGCACATGCCTGTAATCCCAGCTACTAGGGAGGCTGGACAGGAGAATCGCTTGAACCTGGGAGGCAGAGGCTGAGGTGAGCTGAGATCACGCCACTGCACTCCAGCCTGGGCAACAAGAGCGAACTCTGTCTCAAAAAGAAAAAAAACAAAAAGAAAAAAGAAGAAAAATGTCAGAGGAATGGTTTATTTGAATGAAACATACCAAGCTTTAAATAGTGTTCTTCTATCACTTGAACTCACAAGGCAGGGGTTGTAGTGGTTAGTGTTTCAGGTGGTATGAGTGGAAAGTGAAAATATAAAATACAAAAATATTTAGAAGACAGTTTACAAAAGTAAAATAGTAATATACTTTTTTTTTTTTTTTTTTTTTTTTTTTTTTTTTTTGGGTCTGGTTCTGTCACCCATGCTAGAGTGCAGTGGCATGATCTTAGCTCACTGCAACCTCTGCCTCCTGGGTTCAAGCAATTATCCTGCCTCAGCCTCCTGAGTAGCTGGGATTACAAGCACCCGCCACCATGCCCAGCTAATTTTTGTATTTTATTAGAGACAGTGTTTCACTATGTTGGCCAGGTGGGTCTTGAACTCCTGATCTCAGATGATCCACCCCCCTCAGCCTCCACAAGTGCTGAGATTACAGGTGTGAGCCACTGTGCCTGGCCTTTTCTTTTTGAGATGGAGTTTTGCTCTGTCACCCAGACTGGAGTGCAGTGGCATGATCTCAGCTCACTGCAACCTCCGTCTCCCCAGTTCAAGTGATTCTCCTGTATCAGCCTCCTGATTAGCTGGGATTACAGGCGTGTGCTACCACACCCAGCTAATTTTTTATATTTTTGGTAGACATGGGGTTTCACCATGTTGGTCAGGCTGGTCTCAAACTCCTGACCTCAAATGATCCACCCACCTCGGCCTCCCAAAGTGCTAGGACTACGGGTGTGAGCCACCACACCCATCCCAATAACAGCCAGTTACTTAACATCATTAAGAAAGGATGACAGAAAGACAAAAATAAAATAACATTATGAGGGTCATCTGTGAGAGCAGCAGGCTTATAGAACGTAACAAAAAAGATAAGTGAGGAAGACTTATGATTTGTCAGTAATGATTTTAGTTTCAGTTCTTGCCAATTTGCAGGGATCAGAACATCCTCCCAGACTCCTGACTACAGGTAAAACACTGCATGAATGGCCAAAGGCACTGGAAATAGAAAGGGAAAGGTCGTCAGACCAAAACTTTATATCATGGATATAGCAAGAGCTTATTATTTTTTGAAGATTCAATTTTATTGTTTTTCAACAGGTAATTTATGGTGATTACTGAAAACATATCAAGTTGTCTCCTAAAGGTTAGTTGGTATCTTGTATTTGTCAGAGTTTTACTATGACATCTACTGCACCTTTCTTCTTTTTGTACTTTGTTTTTTTGATATTTTCCCATTTTGTCTTCTTTACATCTTTGGAAGTTATACTATACCAGTTTCTCAACGGTTGGCTACCCATTAAATTTTACCAAGCTCTCATTCATCAAGATTCAGAGTTAGTTAAGTAACGATACAATATCTATTATATGCTATATGCCAAAGAGAGTTAATATCATAAACCTCTTTTCTGAATTACAGAAGGATTTTGAAACACAATTTGATTATCCCCACCTCATTTATATGTAATTATTATTTATTATATAATTGTGTCTTTTTTAGCACTACAAATTATCACTATTATTTTATACAAACATAATTTAAATTGACCTATGTTTCCTAATTTCCAATCACTTATTTACCAATACTCTCGTCTCATGCATTCTTTTAGGGTTCATTTTCTCTCTTCCTGTATTTGTTATTAGAATTTTACTAAAAAAATTATGCAAAAGGTATGGCTTTTATGATTTATTGCAGTATCGATCCAATTTTAATTTTTTTAAAAGTTAAATGTAGGGTTCAGTAATCTGCGATGACAGACATTCCTTCTTCCTTACTCCTTTTATTTCCTCTTTTACTACTCTGAATGTGTCTTACATGGTTGTTTTATACTTACTAATACATCCATGGTCTTAATTAATGGGTGTTTGAAAACATATTTTCCATTATTTGTTTACTCTCACAAATGATTTATTTCCTCAGGTTTTGGTTTTAAGCTCATATTTTGTTTAACTGTAAGTGAGAATATTGGGGATGCTTATCCTTGAGAGGAATTATTTTCCCTTCCTTAAAGCAAGCTACCAATCCGAGGTGACGGCCTAGAGTCTGGATCCTCTAGTGTGGGAGTATAGGAGAATAAGGGTACAAGAAAGCCCTCTATTACTACAGCAGGAGTGCAGAACTATATTGGGCTCAGGATCCTTTACTGACAGAAAAGTAGAAGTCTCATAACACTGAGGAAGAAGCAGGTACAGCTGTCCCTCAGGCTCTGCAGGGGATTGTTTCCAGAACTTCCCTCAGATACCAAAATCCACAGATGATCAAGTTGCACAGTTAGCCCTGACACACCTGCAGATACAGAGGGCTGACTGTACACAGTGAAAGCCCCATGCTGAGGCCCAGGCACACAGGGCCTGCCTATGACTAAGGCTGTGTTAGAACAACAGAGAACACCCCTGCCCCCACCACAAGCATGACATAGAGTAACAGGGAGCAGCAGCCTATTGCTGGCAGAGGGGCAAGAGCAGGGAGACACAGGCTTAAGAGGGATAGCTAACAGCCGACACAGAGAAGCATAAGGAAAATTCTCCTAATGCAAAATATCTAAAAACTATGGGATAACAAACATATACAAGCAACTGGAGATCCAGGGAAAAAAAGATGAAAAACATCAAACCACAAGCGAGAGAACAGCAAGAAAGAAAAATGCCACACACACAGAGATATTTGGCCATAAATATCATAGCCAAACAACTAAAAACCAAGGATAAAAAGAAAATCTTAAAGGCAGCCAGAGAAAACAGGATATTAAATGCAGAGAAACAAAGCTTTTTAAATTACAGCAGGAAATAATATCTAAGTCAGAAGACAACAGAATGAAATACTTAATGTATGGAGAAAAAAATGTCAATCTAGAATTCTATACCCAGAGGAAAAAAAAATCTTACAAATAAAGATAGTCTTTCTTGGACAAACAAAAGCTGAGAAAATTCACTGCCAACAGAGCTTTGCTTTAAGAAATACTAAAGGGAGTTATTTACACAAAAGGAGGAAAATACACAAAGATATTAAGAATGTCTAAAATGTTTTTTAAATGGGGGGCAAACATAAAAGACTTTTAAATCGTTATAAAAGACGACTGGCTTTACAGAGCAAAAAACCACGGATACATTGTGGGGTCTCTAAGTAAAAACATATGGCTACAATATCACATAGAAAGGGAGGAAGGCTTTAGCCCAGGAGCTCAAAACCAGCCTGTGCAACATGGTGAGAGCTCATCACTACTAAAAAAACAACTAGACAGACATGGTGGTACATCCTGTAGTTCAAAGTACTCAGGAGGCTGAGGTGGGAGGATCACCTGAGCCCAGGAAGTTGAGCCGTGATTGTGTGACTGCACTTTAGCCTGGGCGACGGAGCAAAACCGTATCAAAAAAAAAAAAAAAAAAAAAAAGGGAGGACAGAATGGAGCTATATCAAATCTTAAATCTTATATTGTTATAAGATTCTAAGGTTATATGTGAAATAGTATCATATCACTTGAAAGGAGACTATGATAAACTGATAATGCTTATTGTATATCACGGGGCAACCACTTAAAACAAAATTTAACAAAGAACTATAGACTGAGTATCCCTTACCTGAAATGCTTGGGACCAGAAGTGTTTTTGATTCCTGGTGTTTTTGGATTTTTTATTTTTTCAGATTTTGGAATATTTTTATATTGTCCCTTGAGGGAGTACTTGTGTGAGTGAATCTAGGTGATATGGTTTGGATTCATGTCCCTGCCCAAATCTCATGTCGGATTGTAATCCCCAGTGCTGGAGGTGGGCCTGGTGGGAGGTGATTGGATCATGGAGGTGGATTTCCCCCCTTTGGTGCTGTTCTCGTGACAGAGGTCTCAAGAAATATAGTTATTTAAATGTGTGTGGCACCTCCCACCTCTCTCTCTTCTTCCTGCTCCGGCCACATAAGATGTGTCTGTTTGCCCTTCACCTTCCACCATGACTATAAGTTTCCTGAGTCCTTCCAGTCATGTTTCTTATACAGCCTGCAGAACTGTGAGCCAATGAAACCTCTTCTCTTTATAAATTACCCAGTCTCAGGTAGTTCTTTATAGCAATGCAAGAATGCATATAGCAATGCAAGGACTAATATACTATGCATGCAAACAAAGAGATATCACAGCTAAAGGGGGTTGGGAGAGTCTTTTTTCCCTTAGGGACACTGAATAAACTATGTGTTGTGTCCCTGCACTTTGACTGTGCCCCATCG